AGTACAGTGGCACACTCATAGCCACCACAGCCTCAACCTGTTGGGTTCAGGTGATCCTTCCGCCTCAGTCTTCCAAGTAACTGGAACCACAGGCATGTGCCACCATGCCCAGGTAATTTTTTGATCTATCATAGAGACAAGGGCTCACCAAGTTGACCAGACTGGTCTCGAATCCCTGGACTTAGGCAATCCTCTTGCCTTTGCCTCCCAAAGTGCTGAGATTACAGGCATGAACTACTGCACCTAACTAACATTTTAAAATTTATTAAAATTTACTTTGTGGCATAATATATGGTCTAACCTGGATAAAATTGCATGTGTATTTGAGACATACATATGTTCTGCTGTTGTTGGGTGGGTTGTTCTGTGTATCTTCATTAGGTTCAACTGATCTATTGTTGTTCAAGTTCTCCGACTCTTTATTAATCTTCAGTCTGGATGTCCTGCCTATTATTGAAGGTGTGTTATTGAAGTCTCCTACCACTATTGTAGCACTGTTTCTTCCTGTAATGACATCAGCGTTTCCTTTATGTATTTAGGAGCTCTGATGTTTGGTGCATATATATATTTTTAATTGACATATTTTACATATTTATGATATGCATAGTGGCTTTTGATACATATAGCACAAAGGATCAAATCAGAGTAATTCGCATATCTATCATCTCAAACATTTATCATTTGTAGTATTGGGAACATTCAGAATCCTCTCTGGTAGCTTTTGGAAAATGTATAATTCTTGTTGACTACAGTCACCCTACAGTACTATAGAGCACTAAAATTTATCCCTGCTATCCAGCTGTAATTCACTTTCCTGTAAATAATCTCTTCCTAGTCACCTTCCTTCCTATTCTTTCTAACCTCTAGTAGCTACTATTCTACTCTCTACTTTTATGAGATCATCATTTTTAGCTTATACATACGCATGAAAACAGGAATACAAATCTTTATAATGATGATACCTTCCTGGTACATTGACACTTTTACCATTGTATAGTGTCTTTGTTTCTTGCAACAATTTTGACCTGAAGCCTATTTTGTCTGATATTACTAGAGGCATCTCTGTTCTCTTATGATTACTATTTGCATGATATATCTGTACCATCTTTTCATTTGCAATCTAATGTATTTCCTTAGATCTAATGTGAGCCTTTTGTAGACAACATATACCTGGACATTTGAAAGAAAAAAAAACAGTAGCTTCTGCCAGTTTTGCAGACTGGCTAATGCCGGGGAAGACATTCACTAATCAGCTTGGTGTGAAGGTTTATGTCTTTTTCAGGTCATTTCTAAGCATGTGTGTTTCTGGGTCTCTGTGTGCTCTTTTACTCCCAAGACTCCATATACACAGCTGCTTTTAAATATCTTATTTCCTCTAAGAGTCTTACTCCAGATTCTTCTCAGGAGCTTAGATACTCTCTTGCCTCCAGGAACCCATAAGTCTGACGTCCCCCAAAACCCTTACATGCTGCAGTGCCTGCCACTGCTTTCAGTGTCTTCCAACTGATATCCAACCTACACCACCATTACCATCTGCTGAGTTAGGGAATCAGAAACTATTCTATGCAGCCACTAGGCAGTACAGAACATTGCAAAAAAGTTCTACTTTTTTCCTTCTGTTGTAAGGGAGGATCCAGGAATTGAGCGGCTTCGCTAGTAACAATGCCATACCAGAGAAGGGATGGAGCATGGGTGAGCAAAAACGCTCCCAAATTTCCTACCATGTTGAGCATACCCACCTCTTGGTGAGCATTGTCTTGGTCTCTGCAGATCTTTAACTGTCTTTAGAGTTCCTATAAGCTTACTGTGGTGAATAGATTGTTTGAGTTTCCATGAGGAACATGGATCTGGAGCCTCCTAGGCTACTGTCTTTCTGATGTCACTCCTCTGCTGTAGAATTCTGTTTTTATTAAGTCTTTTGTGGTTAATTCAGTCCCTTTCTAGCTCTAAAAGATGCCATCATCTTCAAATAAAATATAAGCACTGGCCTCTTTGATTGGGTTAATATGTGATGACACAGCAATAAAAATCAAATGGCTTATGACCTATTACCAACAAATTTAGGTGTTATAATGTATCAAATCGAGTGACAATAGTTTTAGAGAGTCTCTTGTACACATTTTATAAATCTATATTCAAGTCTCAAAAATTGATGACCATCATGATGACAGACACACGTGCATAGGCTATTTCTCCATGACCATGACCAATTGATTACAGAATTGACTTCTAAAAATAAAGTAGACTTCGTACTCTTCAACACTTAATGGAGAAAAATTACAAACGTTTTGTAAACAACCTATGTTTCCCAGGATATGTTGGATCCTTAGACGAATATAAAAATTTTGTCTTTTGAAACATCAATCTTAGAACAATATGTTGAAAGAAATTTAGATTCATCTAGTTTTCCTGAATCAGGAATATTTATCTCTCTGCAACCATAAATGCTATTTCTTTGGAAAATACCCCCAAGTAACTCCATCTGCTTGGGATTTGAGATACCTACTCTGTCTTGCAAACATACCATTCTAGGCTATCTTAATGTATAGCTTTTTATATATTCTTCCATTTTCTGACTCTTTAAACTCCCTGAAGAAACTATACACTTTAATCATTATTTTACCTCTTACCTTGTTATTCAAGAAGTCACTATAAGTCCTTCTGATATTTTTATCACATATACACCTTCTAATATCAGCTTCTTTCAGCTCTCATTTCTCCGTGTTACTGATTTTATCTTATGAAGACCTCCTTTTTCATCATCCCACTTAGAAACTCCACAACACCTATAGGATAATAGTCACCCTCATTTATGGCCTCCATAGTTTAACTTTAAACTATATCTCCACATTTATTTCCCACTAGTCCTCTTCATGAATCCCATGGTCCCTGTGACAGTGCTCGTTTTCAGGCCTTAAAGTATGTTAGTCTCTTCTTTTGAATGCCCACCCCCATTATCGTTCTTCTCAAATGTATTAATTTGTGCTTTTCACTCATTCAGAATATATTTATTATTTACTCAATTCCAAACCTTACCTCTTCCATGAATCCTTATAAGACTGCTTTAGTTCCCAATGGGTTCTGCCTTCTCTACTCCTACACAGTAGCTATATCTCTTCATTATTAATTTGGCACTTTGAGTATTATTTCTTGGCATACTTTTTTTATGTCTATGGAATATGTTCCCAACAAGACTGTATGTTTCTTGAGGACAGGAAATGCACCAACTTCATCATTGTTGTAGTGCTTTTAGCAAAATGTCTGTATTTAATTATCTTTCTCAATAGTTTTATTCTTGATCACAAAAGTCACAATGGATAGTGACGATGTTTACTTAATAAACACCCAAATCAAGAAAGAAGCAAATCAAGGACTAATTTCTGGAAAGCATGTACATAAACATTGTTCAAAAGCATGTATTAAAAATATTTTAAAATTGTATAGGTCAAAGGCTAGGGCACTCTCTACATACTCTTCTGATGCCTGTTGGCTATTTTTCAGGATTTGCCAAGCAGCTTTTGAATCTTAAGAGTTTGTTACCTGGTCTAAAGAATACTTACTTCCTTTGACTCACTAAATAATAATGCATGAACTCAGAGAGTTAATTGTGTTAATGATGTTTCCCTTAGAGACTTACAGATAGCACCATGTTGACTTTTTCTATAGATTCACCATCACTAGGTTGATGTACTATTTCTTCCTGCCTTTAACCCTACAATCTCTATTTTGTTGGGTCCTGTGGAGAAGGGAAGATGAAAAGATAGTCCTCTCTGATTTCTAAAGTGGTTATTAGGGAGAAGAAAAACAGAATCAGTTTCTTTTTTGGGAGGAAGGTTCTCAAAGGGGTATTTTTTACTGCTATTTGTTCAGATTTATCAGAATTGCAAATATGTTGCTAAGAATACACCACACTTGTTCTTCAGATTAGTGGGCAAAAAGGCATGGTGGTTGCTATTATGCCATACTCATGTGCTAACAGGGAAGGTTGCCCATAATTTTATTGAGCGGTATACCAGCCCAGGACCCAGCTCAAAGAAAGCATTCATAAATATCTGTGAATGTGTGTCAGTGATGCCCCTTTGAATGCTTATGCAAATTAAAGGGTCAGGCTAGTTATCAGTGAGCTAATGATCAGTGTTGAAAACCACTTATGTACCTAAACCTAAACTGCACCCCCATCTTTAAAATAAAATAGTTTTTTTAAAAATATCAATTTACAGCTTTTATGGTGGCTCTTCCAGTAACAGGACATTCTCGGTCTTAGTGGCGTTTTTATAGTGGTATGCAATAGTGTGAGTAGAACCATTTCTGAATAAGATTTTGGACTAAGTTTTTCTACAACTTTCCCATCATCACTTCTCTTTGGGATCTTGTGCCTATGCTAACATAATCTCAAGTATTTGTGATTCCCACTGCGTTAAAACATTACTAAGAAACAGATGCATATTTTGCCAGAAGTCTTCTGGAGACATACAATAATGTACTAACTTGTAGGAATCATTCTAATGAAAGGAGTTTGAGAAACTCAGGTGAATATTTAAAGGCTTTCTCCCACTTCTCAGTCCATAGTTGAAAGATTTTGCCGTAATAATAAGACAGAGGCCCCGTTTTTCCAAGGTGGAGAAAAAAACATATAAAATATATAAAATATTTTGAAATCAATGGGCTCTTCTATAGAAAAAATGTTTTTGAATTAAGTTTCTCTGAGAATACATTAGGCTTCTTAAGTTTAGCCCATGGCAAAGCATGGCCCAGAAAAGTCTAATATAAGACTTCCTCATTTGGGATTTCATTTGAAAGTGGATTAAAACAAATAGAAAAACAAATTACAAAATAAAACAAATAGAATTTCTGGATGCTAATGCTCACCAAGAGAATTATTGGTTATTACCCATTTTGCCCCTAATCTCTGAAAACAAACCAAAACAAAAAACTTTTATCAATTTTCAGAAAGATGCTCCAATTTTTATTAAGTATGCATTTTAAAAAAGGAAACATTCTTGAGATGTCAAGATTAAATGTGTTTATTTCGAGTTAGCGGATACAACGGTATATTAGATACCAGCACTCCAAGCTACACCTATGTATTTGCCTCTAAACCTCCACACATCTTCAGTTTCCATTCCTCTATATTCCACAACTGAGCCTTCTATTTCTAGAAAAATCATAGTTCAAATTAAAAAAAAAAAATGAAAGCAAGATTGATCACCATATTGTGCTTCCAGTGCCCCCAGAAGGATTTTAATTGTCTCAAATAAATGTTTATTATTTTTAGTAAAGGGGAAAAATAATAACATGATCACTAGTAATGGCACAACTAGAAGAGAAAACAGAATGCAGATTAAAAGAAGCGTTTTAGGCTGGACTAGTTTCCCCTCAGTTAAAAATCCACATAATATCATGGATATGACTTTAAAGTTAAATTGTTCAATTTGTGCGCCACGCACTTAAGCGTATTGGCTAGTACATTTTTTGCACTTGAAACAGAAGCAATACAAGTTTTATGTTCTACCATTACACTTCCAGATTTTTCACTTATGAATATACCTGCCAACCTAATGATTCTTGCATGCATTAGAATTTGCTTTTGTAGAGTTAAGTTTATTTTCCCCATCCCTCCCACTCCCATAGACGTTGCGCCAATGCGAACTCTTTACCCAATTTTATGAGAATGTTGCAAAGGACAGCTCTGTGCCACACCTCAGGACAGGAATCCCCTGTCCCCTTCCAGGCTACAGATGGATCAGTAGTATTGATCACATCTCATCTTGCATGCAGACAGACACTGTTCCCTTAATTTCCCCATGCCAGAGGCATACGAGTCGGCAGGTATGCATACAAAAATGGAATTAAAAAGGAAAGGAAAGAAAAAAAAGAAAGAAAAAGCTTTCTTGTTAAAGCCTATCATCCTAGAAGGAATCCATTGCCTTGAATTCACTTAAAGCCTGTACAGGCGAAATGTGTTTCTTCTGAGAACCTCGTCTAACTCGTGTCTGGAATTCTTCAGGCTTTTCTCTCTTCACAAGGGGTTTTTTCTCTGGAGCCTTCATCTTCCAAGACACAACAGGTGAGTTGACAGCTGCTGTCCCATAGACCTTCTGGTATTTGGTTGAGGCCACATAGGATGCTTTCACCGTAAGGACAACAGCATTCATCAGGTTTTTAGCTGCCTGGATAAGTGAAGTGGCACTGTCCAGCTAGAGTGGGAGAAGAACAAGATACACCTGGGTTAACCAAGGTCCTAATTTCACAAGATGGTACATTTTCACAGCTAAAACAATGTTTTGCTTGTGCAATTTGACAGTATTGCTGAAAAGGAGCAAAGTATGGTAAGATAAAGTGAACAGAATACAAATCAGTCACTTGTCTTCTTCTATCTCTAATCCCAAAGTAAAAAGAAAAATAAATAAATAAATAAAAAGGATGGCTCTATGATGCATAGCCTCCTAAAATCTCAACACGACTAAAGACATAACCCTCTTTTTAGCAGGTAAGAATTCCAAGGTAGCAAAAGTTTGCCAAAGTGGAACATTTCCTAGTATAACATGAGGCTAATTAGTAATGGTGACAATTACTCAAATGATGAAAAAGCTTTTGGGAGTCACTGAAGAACAGGAAATTATAAGGGATAACATATCAATTCCTTATAGACTATTGCTATATCCTGAGCTCAGAATTGATGAGTTCACAGACAGCTAAGCAGAGGGATGACCCATGGGTGCTTTTGCTTTTATTTAGGAGTTTATTGAATTCAGAGTCTTCATGTAACTATTCCTAAATCATGAATATACCGCCTATAAAAATATCAGTTGTGTCAGGATCTTACAGAGAACATTCAGTGAGACCCCCCATATCCATATATTAATGAAATATTGAATACTAATGTGCCAAACAGTATGCTAAGAACTTTGTATTTACCCATGTAACTCTCAACAATTCTGTGAAATAGGCATCATTGTCACTGCCCATTTACGATGAGTAAGCTGGTGTATGAAGAGGTCCGGTAATTTGTACAGGTTTCCACAGTTCAAGTGTTAAAGTCCTTTAATACAGTATTATTGATCCATAACTGCTACCCTGTTGGATACGATATCTTTAACAATGCTATGACATGTCACAACTTGAGAATAGGTTTGGAGGCCCATTACCACATGGTCAGGAGGGGGAGACTTTAGGTTACCTCTAAGTCTGCTCCTAACTAGTTAGTGTGGTACATACTATATAACTAAGTCATTCAATATCTGCTTCAGCCTTCTTCTTGCTTCTGAACCATAGATGCTGAAGAAGCTCAAAATTGTGTTTCCCAGACTGACTCCCTTTCAGCCAGGAATCTAAATGTGGCCTAGTGAAAAGAAAGAATTGACAGCTGGACTGCAAATCTTACTCCGGCCTCTAGGGATGCTTGGGTGCAATTTGATCTTTCAGCAAACTTTTTGTTGCATTAACTAAGGAAGCCAAGATGTTCCTAATGATGCCATTTCTAGTTGTAGGGATTGTTCATTGTATAAACCATCATTCAGACTTCTGCCACATGAAAGAATGGGAGTGAGGCACACAACCTTCCTGGGGCTAGGCGACTCGCAAAGTGGTTAAGCTGAGAGTCTAAACCCTGTGGTTCCCCTGTGTGATGTGACTGTCATTCACTTTGGCTTTGGGTCATTTCTTGGGACCAAAATGTGTCCCATGCAATGGCTGGGGTTATCAGAAGTGACAACTAACATCTCTGTGATGTTTTTGCTCTGGTTGCTCTCTGATCCATATCCTTTATTAAAGTTAAGCTAATGCAAAGCTAGCCTAATGCTGTGCTGAGTGTAAAAAAAATTATCACAATCGAATGAGCTCTATTTTTTCATCACCAAAAAATGTCACAGTATGACCATCTGAAAACAGTGGAAGACATCTTGTGTAGCTGGATCCCTTGCAATACCATAGAATTTAGACTTTTCCATAAAAAAAGATCAAAGGTCAGTATTACATTGACCCTACGATAACATAGAGAAGCAAAGATCTTTGTGGATTAGAGCCATGATTCAGTGGACATATAACTGAATGTTTTGTGAATTAACTCACCCAATGGATAAAATAACCCTTTTATTTTACTACTTGTATTACACCATTCAAGGTATACATACACCAACATAACTGCTCAACTTATAATTAGTTTAGTTTATACAGCTTAGATTTCTAAAACTAGATAAGGAAAGGCAAATTCTAGGTTATTCATGTTAACAGGAAAAAAAGCAAATCATGGATTAGTGCAATGGTTCTCAAAGTATAGTCCCTGAGCCAAAAGCATCAGCATCACACCTTGGGAAACGATCAGAGACCCAATTTCTCAGGCCCAGTCAAAACTTACAGAATCAAAAATCTGTCATCTCTGTCTTATCTAGACATTCAGGGGATTCTGATACTTGCCAAAGCTTGAGAACCACTGGATTAGTGAAACCCAAAGACTACCTTGAAGGTTTATTTTTATCCAATGATTTCAGGACTTCCACCCATAAGTTTGGTAACAGCATAGCCAGTTATCTGACTGAACTTTAATTTTACATCTTTTGCATCCCATCCCCAGATAGAAGTGTAAATAATGAAGGACAGAGATGACACAGCAAAATGTTGGAATAAGTAGGAGCAGATCAGTCATTGTTTCTTTAGAAGTGAAATGCCTACCCCCTTGGCCAATTGATACTTCCCTGTAAGTCTGTCAGGTTTCAGAAATGAGTACTATTCAGTCATAAAGTTAGTTAATTCTATTGTGTATTATGAGTAAAGAATGAGTAAAATGACACGTCAGGGAGAGTTCTGTCGATTTGTTCTGGGCAAGAGAATTAGTAGAAGTAGAACAAGACAAGATGTGTCCATTATATTAACAAAGAATGAGTCTGGGGAGAATTGAGTTGATCTGAAAATAAGGGGTTACAAGTAATCTGGAGATTTTTACCACAGATTCCATTTTCAGATAGATGGTGTCTAATTCTGCAGCAAAAATATGGGAGCCTGTCTCTTCTTCAGAACCCCTTTGCTTCCCCAGCCTGATGCAGGAGTCCTGTGAATAAACCTAATACATCGGTTGAGAGTGAGATAGCTTTGAAATAGAAAGCCAAACATTTCATTCAGGCCACCTGCTAAGGCAGATCTTGAACTTGTGGCAAGGTAAAGCGAGGAGGTGAGGGAGCCAGCCAACTAAATTTGAACAAATACACGCATAGAGTATACGCCCAATCTAAATTTATTAATATAAAATTTGACTCTTTTAAAAAGTTGAATTCTCAAATAATAAATTCTGTCCTTTGGTCTAGATATACTTTAATAATGTAGGTCTTACCAGAAAAATCTAAATTCTTTTTTATTTAAAAATGAGTTTCCTTTATGCTTTCCCAAAACCCTGGGTTCCAATAGGCAAGCTTTGGCTAAAAATTCACTTCCAGAAAAAGACATTAGAAAGACTAAGGTTACATGGTTAGAAGTTTTTTTTTTAAATACAAAGTTTATAAACACTTATTTTACATAACTGCATTCTATTTTGTGATTGAAATTGTAATAATAGCACTTTCAAACAAGATGTAGAAAGTGAAGATCTAATAATAATAACGGACATTCATTGAGTACTTACAAAGGTCCTGACATTGCCTTAGTCCTTTTAATTGTGCAATTTTCAAAAATTCTTAAAGTACGAACTATTATTACTCTTGCTTTATAAGTGAGGAAACTGAAACTTAGGGAGGTCATGTAACTTGCCCCTGCAGTAATCGACAAAGTAGGGATTAGGATCAATACCCTCTCTCTACAAGACCCACCATCTGAAACCCACCACACAACATATCTTCTCCAAAGCATCAATTAATCTCTGGGATCTTGCTTTTAAGTTATTACCTGTCATTTATAATGAACCTGTTCTATTAATCCTGTCTAGTCGGAAAGCCTGTCCTCTAAACCTAGTGTCATCCTGTTAACATAATGACAAAGTGTTGTGCGGGCCCCCATCTCCCCCAGTCTGTAACAGTTAGTCTCATCTGCAGAGTTCAAATCCTCCATTACTAGAGCTTTTGGCTTTGCATATGTTTCTGCCTGATGCTCCGACCTTCCTAGTCCTCCCTGGCCTTTGGGTTATCTTCCTGGCTTGGATTCACCCTCATGGCAGCAAAGCCTGGGATGTAATCTTTGCTGATTTCTCTTGCACTTGCCCTGTTTTTCTGAAGCACATTTACTACACAGCTATGTATTTTACTAGGTTGTCTCCCTAGGCAGGGCTCAACTACTCTAATTAATGTTCTAATTTTTATTTGGGGTAGTCTTGCTAGCTTTAAAATGACCTCAAAAATCAACAACCTCTCAGCTCTTTCTCAAGCTAGCCCGCATTATACTGGTCTTTTCAGCCAAAAGAAATATCCATCTTTTCCTGGATAAGGGCCTTTCCATTCCTGTTGGACAACACATTAAGTTCTTGTGTATAGTCTAAGATAATTTGCTAATTTTAGAAACAAGATCCTACATGTAGCAAATGAGACGATGTGCCAGTTTCTGAACTAGATCCCTAAATTTCATTTCTCTCATTCAATCTCACAACCAACTGAGACACATAATAGTATTATGCCCCGTTGGAACTTAGAGGATGCATATAGCTTGCCCAATATCACACTGCAAATACATGACAACGCCAAGATTTGAACTCAGTCTAGCTTCATAGTTCATGCCTTCACCATTGCTCCAAGCTGCACTCAGAGTCATGCACAGCAAATAAGTCCTCAACCCCCAAATCCATTAAGCTGTGCTAGACTCCTTCTTCCTATTCCAACCCATAGTTGTCTGCTGTCCCTAACCACTGAAATCAATTCTGTCACTATTCTTTTAAAATATCAAAGTACTATTTTAAACGGGCAACAGATGTTTCCTCACATCTTGTTCTATTACAGTCCATGTAAAGGAAATAAGGGCAGGCGAGTTATTTCATAGCCATTTCTATAGAGCGTTTTCTGACTTTTTTCCCCCTGCCTCTCTTCCCACTCTTTTTCTCTTAACCCCACTCACCTTCTAATAGTCAGATTTCTCTTTCCCTAGATCATCCTCATTTTGTGTTTTGAATAGAGGGAAAGACCAGACGTAAGACTTTCTTCAACTGTGATTCTTCCATTAATTGGTTACATCATCAAAATTGAAGAACACCATGAAAAGTGCTTAAAATGACACTCGTACAGTT